AGGTGTTCATAATGATGCAAAGAAGTAGACGAATTGCTACTGTCTGAATAACATTGTTTGTTAAATAAATCATCTAATTTGCGTAAATCAACCCATAATGAAGTATTTATGTTCGATTAATTCATCTAATATTATCTCATCCATCTACAATGCCTATATTAATCTACTAATTCAAATGTTATCAAACTGTATGATAATTTTGTTGTATAATAATGAATATAGCACAGATATTCAGTGTTTGACAACGCTTTTACCAGCAACACCTTCTAATATAATTCGTACGCACCAGGGGAAATCAAAAGACAGAGTCGAAGAGATCGGAAGAGTGTATTTGGCGATAACCAATATATCGGAATTCTCTTATCTAATCTGTCTGGCGATTGCGCTAGATGTTGAGCACTGCGTTACCACACGTGATCTGGTGCGGATGTATGACCGAGCGCCTTCAGCTAGATGAGTCCACTAAAGCATATGGTCAGCATCCAATGTTGGAAACTTACAGAGCTATTTATTTTGGGGATTTATTCACTGCTACAATAAGAAAGCATGAATAAATAAATAGTATAATAAGTAGTTTTGGGAAAGTGTACGTTATTATCTTGTGGGATCGGATATACGTTGCCCAGTTTCACAGTCTGAGAAGTTACCACTGAGATACTCAAGAAAAATCATTTTGAATGATGTCAAAAATCAAATTCTAATAACTTCAACCACAGAATTCTGCTGAAAGCGTCTATTCTTAAAAGATATTCGTAAGTGTAAATGATACTGCCAAGTAATGTTGATAGCTTCGAATTTGGAAAGACATTGATTTAACTACAACAATTCCCGTGAAACTTTCTACTCTCTTTTGAGAATGCTAAATAAATTATGGTCTAGAGGTTAACCGTCCGCGCGTGAGACCGATAAGTTATGGGTTCAAATCTTAAAGGAAAGGATCATGCGTTTGCACTGCTGAGAAGTCCCACAGTAGGACAGAATGGCCGTCCAGTGCTTCCAGGTTTTCCATGGCGGTCTAGCTTTAACCCTGCTCGATATAGGTGGAATTTCGTTCTCTGAGCTGAATGATTTAGTCATAGAGCTTTCACTGTTCTCCTGAATTCAAATTTCTTCACTTCTACCCGACACTTGTGCTGATGGTGTTGTTCAGAGGGACAAAACTCCACCTAAATCATCCACCTGAGTTATAAATTGTCTTCACCATCTCAGTTTGATGTATTAAAAATTTGACTGTTGATAAGTTAAGTAAATGATCTATAACCATCCAGCTCAGAGAACAAAACTCCACCAAAATCTATAACATACTGCATATAGCCATAATTTTTTTGCATCACTTATAATACCAATTACTAATCATTAGTTGGTACGTAAATAAATCCTCATTTGTAGTCTGATCATCTTCCATAAACTTTGTTGTATCAATCCTTGTTCCTGTGTAATATTTATTCAGCATTAATTTTTATCTAAATTAACACAAGTTGATATATATTACTTACTTACTTACGTACGTCTGTTACTCCCAGTAGAGCAAAGGTCACCGACCAGCATTCACTAACCCACTCTGTCCGAGGCAAGTCGATATACATGCGCGAGTCAAAACCATAATCTTATCGAGTTTCAGCAGCTTTCCAAAAAAATCTCGTTATCAAAAATGAAGTTTAAAATGATGAAGATTACTCAAATAAAATTTAATCGAAGAACAATGAACTTTAAAATTTCAAATTAACATAACGGACTTATTTTTATCATTAAATGTCATCTGTAAAAAGATAATGACCAACCAAGTTTAGTGATGTGGAAGGAAATCAATTCAAAACAAATTTGAACTTCATATATAGATCAATTTCATTTGTCACAAACTTTACTACTTGTAACAATTCAGTAGTTTGACTTACATTGAAATATTTCAAAAGTATCAAATGATAAAGATGATGTTTAGCAGATACGCATATCCTCCATCCTATTTGTTATTCGTCAGTTAGATGAACATGTATCTCACGTTTAATGTTTACTCAGAGAATATATATAACTGAAATGGACGAAATATGTATGGATTACAATAGTAAACTGTTGTGCAAATGATTTGAAAATAATGTTCAGTTTGTGGTTGTGGAGAATGTTGAGTGTGCTTGAAACCATCAACAGAACTAGGATGAAACAGGCTTCCAGTATTCCACGTTCTCAACAGTAGTCTGAATTAAATCGCACCCTGCTTCAAACGAAACTCAACATGCTCAACAACACCATAGTGAAAATGATCACGTGTTAACTAGTAACAAGCTTCGAGAGGAAGTTTCAAGAGTTTTAGTGAGAAGTCATGGCCAGTGTAAATAAACCTTGTAAGAACTCAATCTGTTACCCACCAGAAACAATAGATGACGGTCGTGCAATATCGTGGATTGATTGAGGTTCGATAATGACACTGTTGGACACTGTGAAAATGGTATACAGATTAAGTACTTGCTCACGAAACCGAATGTGGAGTGTTCGATTCTCACGTTTGTGCGTATCAATGCAGAACACTGAGGAGTCACATACTCAAACAATCTGTGTTCAGTGCTTTCAGGCTTTCAATAGTGATCCAAAATTGATCGATTATTCATGCATTTGAGCAGTGTTTGTACAATCCACTTGCTGACCACATACTCACAAAGACAAGTATGATATATTCAATCACTCTTCAATTCAAACATCCATTTCCCATTCTCAGCAAACTAACTTATGTGCCTCCACCTCTGAAGGTCTTGAAGAGCATCTTGGTTATTCTTACCTCACTACTGATGTCAAATTATTGACAAATCTTTACTGTTTTCGTCCAAACATTTCGAGGATCAACAAAACATCATTGTCAATCGGATGAATATAGACAAAATATAGATACTAAATATAATGGTACACTATACCTCACGTCCAATCTCACTACGAAAGCTCGGGAAATCTATTATTTCACATATCCGATTACTTCCCAGATTCTCCGATTTCCACAAATACAACAGATTCCAATGAATCCCATCTATCCACATGGAACATTGTACGTGCATCTCAGTGAGTGAGTCGATCAGAAATATTTCATTCAATGCAATACACCACACTAGAATGACCGAAATGGGTTGCCATCATTTCAATACAATAACAGAACACGAAATAAAACAAAATGAATTTTTGAACTAATGAAGTAACACCAATTCATTTTGTTCAGTGTATGTTGATAAACTGTATAAGTAGTCACAGGTACTCTCCTCAGCTCCATAGAAATGCATTAGGTCAATGTTTTATTGAAGCTAAACTATCGATTTCACAAACTGGAAATGAGACGTAAAGAACTCAACAAATAATAAGTCGAGATGTATAGGAAGGTCTGTATTCTTACGAACGAGGAGATCATATGCGATAACTCCATGATATTCACGTTTAAATATGAAGATTGCCTAATCAAATGTTTTTTCGTAATAGTAACAGATTCTTATACACAGGAAATGTTTCTCAACAAGTTCAAACTGTGTTAACTCAAAATATTTACATCAAAATCCAACCTTCAACTCCATCCCATTCCATTCCATCATTCAGTGGATACTATTCACAATCTCTCATCACTGACAACATTCTTTCTTGTAAATGGTTGAATAGCAAACTAGTTGTGTCTCTGTGTCAATGTAGCACACAATCAAGCAGATGGTTGTCAATTGTATCTGTTCTACAAGTTGACATGATTTGAAGAAATGTGTGCCAAATGAATTCCACAACTAGTATCACTGTAGACGAAGTAACGTGGATTCTATTGACGCTGTTCAGTGTGATCCTGTTTATTCGAATTTGTACGGAGATTGACCTATGTCATTTTAATAGTTGGTCGGTGATACTTCAACACACACTATGTGTATATGACCACTTAGTGGACATCATCTACATTCTGAATAGACTACCAGATATGCAGTATTTACAAAGTATCTAGTTCATCCAATTTATCTTGGCCTACCACGAAACTAATAATGATGCCTATGTGGATAGATTATTTTTAGTGTGATTATGAGTATAGTCATCAGATTCTCAATGCGTGTCACTTCACAATTCAGAATTCACAACTATCATTCTTCCAATTACAAATTACTCAAAACAATTCACACTTGCACACAGTTCACTGAAATATTGCATAGAAGCGAACAAGAATTAATTAGACATATCCTATGTCACTATCTTACAAACTGTAGGGAATAATCACACTATCATCAATCAGTCATGCAATTGGCTAAACTGTATTTATCATCACTGTATTATTAATAAAATAATTATCTTGTTTGTTGTAGTGGATATGTGTTAAGTAAACATGCTTTTCATATCTCACACTAATCATGTCCATGAAAACATGTTGAACATAATTGTTCCTATAAGTGTCACTTTCGTATTTCAAATGTGAATTCCCTATTCATTCACAATTTCTGTCTGACATCGATTGGTTTCGCGATTGGTTCCGTGACTTGTCAACATGATACTCCTCACGAAGGGAAAATTTAATTTTCATCAATCTGGTGAGACGAGTTGATTAATCAAAGTATTAACAACATAATCGATGGCTTAAATCCATGTCGAACGGAGACAGTTCAAACAGTTCAACTATGGCATGATGAAAATCGATTAATCGTGTAATTCAGTCAGTGAGTCAAACTGAATAATCAACGTCTTCTGAGTGATAAGATGAGATTTGTCTAACACAAACAAGCAAAAGAAACGGCACAGATTATGCATACTAACACTAAAACACCAGTTATCTTCCTCATCAAAATCGGAACTGTTCTATATTGAATCATGTTTCAACGTATGTTCGATTAGTAAACCGATACCTGATCACATTACCAAAATCAAAACTGAACAGAAATGCAACTATTCAATTATATTTAAACACACGAAGATAAACAGTCAATATTTATCTAAGTAATCACAGCATTCTAGCTCATCTTCATTCAAATCTTTACCAACACTTCCATTCTAAATCTAATTTCAGTTTACATCAATTCACGTTTCATAACACCACCCATAATAGGTTCTTCGTCGTCGTCGTCATCAAATTCATTTGACCCATCAACAGGCTCATAAATGTCTTGTTGATTTTCATCAAATCCTATGTTATCGTATTGTTGAGGTTGTTGAAAATGTGGGAATAGTTCAGGTTGCATATTCATCCCACCCATTTGCATGTGAGACTCACTGGGTGGATATCCATATTGATGTAATTGTTGTTGTTGTTGTTGACCTTGTTGTGAAGGATAGAAAGCTTGTGCTAGTTTTGACTGTTGTTGACGTTTCATCATTTGTGATTGACCAATGGGTTGTCCATATCCACCCGGTCCTCTGTTTGAATTGGAAGATTGGGAGCATGAGCTCATTGGTTGTTGTGCATTGTGGTTAATGCTCTCTCCCATTTGTCTCTTCATCATCATATTGGATGAGTAGTATTGTTGTTGTTGTGGTTGTTGTTGCTGTTGTTGTGATTGTTGTTGTTGCGGTTGCTGTTGTTGTGAATTTTGTTGTTGTGGTTGTGATTGTTGTTGCTGCGGTTGTTGTTGTTGTTGTTGCATTGGTTGATGCTGCTGGCCATATGATTGTACACCTTGCATTGATTTCGACTGCAGTTGTCGTTTCCTTAATTTAGGTAGATTATTTGATGCTAAGTAATTATTTGCTGTTTGAATACCTTGTCCTAATTTCTTCTCATATTCTGCTATGTTTCCAACCGTACTTTTTAATCCATTCAAATTGATACTTTGTGATAAGTGACAACAACAACTCATCATGATTATGTATATGAATAGAGTTGACATGAATTTATATGTGGCCAAATTGTTGATTTGCATTGTTCAATATGATCACTTGAAACATGAAAAGAAAGATGAAAACACGGTTTAATTACAGAATGAATACTCAGATGGAAATGTGTATGAATGGTGTATTAAATGCTGTTTTATGATGAACAAAAGAGAATGCATACACGTTATGACGTAATAATGATTAATAATGTTTGAAGAAGGTTTCTCTAACTAATACTAATAACTAATAATACGCACTGCTGAGGAGTCCCACATTAGGACGAAATGGCCGTCCAATGCTTCCAGGTTTTCCATGATGGTCCAGCTTCAAATGACTCATGAACTCAACTAGTGAATTACTATAATATCCACAAAAACCCTTACTGATATAATGTAACTGTTTATTTATTAAGACACTAGATTACAATGTATGTTCATTTTCAAATTAACTTGTTATAGTTCACTTCATCGTCACTTCTTCTTTGAACTTTATAATCTGGTCATGGAGCTTTCATCGCTCTTCTGAACGATATCATCAACACAAACTTCAGGTAAAAGTGAATTGTTCAAATTTTTCCATATATATAGTTCATATCTTTTCTTTGTGTTGATGATGTCGTTTAGAAGAACAATGAAAGTTCCACAACCATACCATTCAGCTCAAAGGACAAAACTTTATCGAAATCATTCATCTGAGCTACAAATCTTCTACATCATCTGTTAACTATATGCATGAAATTAAGATGTTATATTCCATCCATAGTCTATTTTATATGATTAGTTCTTGTTGACTTCATCTTTAAATAACTACTGATTAACTAGCAACAACATATAATTCTAATTCTACGTAACCTCAACTGTTATTCAGTTTCGAATCCAATTATGATGTAACCAGTTAATGATTTGTTACCAAGTGGAAAACTTATTTAATCATATTTTAGTTAAAAATTAAAATCATATAGTCAAGACGTATTGTGACACTTACCAATTTCTTTAATTAGAAGATCTATTCTACTAAATACTTTAAATATGATCACAAATTTATACTCATCTTTTATGTTTCCCATGACAACTATACGTCAATCAGTTGTTATTGGTTATTATTGTGATGTACACAAATAAAATAAAGTAAATTATGTGATTATTATTGTATTGACAGTCATCAAGGTATTTTTTGTATGTATGCACTAATTCTTTTTGGTAATGATTCTCAATCATTGTCAACTGTTCACATCAACATTCATTTTATAACCTAATGACCTTACCTGATACCATCACTTGAATGGATCATTACTGAAAAAAAAACAACTAATATCTGAGGTAAATTTAGTTCAATTTATTAAATCTGTTTATCACCATGATGGTTCTTTTTTTAAAAAAAAAATAAAGTTGGTAAAATGCAACATCATTTAGTAACACCTCTATGGTTGAAGCCAGTCCTAAGCCTGGGTTAGGAGAGGAAGGGAATAAACGTGAGATGAACAACTTCATTTCGTGAAAAAAGAGACCTCGCTGTAAAAACCCAAATCAGAGTAAATATGAGAATTAATATTTATTATTCAAATAATTTGCCTTATTATTTTTTTTAATCTAAATATCAAATTATCATTCTAAGTAACACGGAATACTTATTTAAATAGTTCATTTCCATTTTAGAAATAAAAAACTGATTTTAGCTAGACTACCACAGGAAACTAGATGATAGCACAAGTCACCTTCCTCGTCCTAAGCAATATACATCCACGACACCACCAAAGGGAATCAGACCCAAAAACGTTTGGTCTCACAAGGAGACTCCTAACCTCTAGATTATTGAGCCACTATCTGGTAATATATATGCTTATCCTCAGACAATTCCCAATACTGTGTGATTATTTCTCATAGCGTGAGGTGGATATCTGTCTTACATCTGGCATAGACGAACATCACTAATCACAGCTTCTCATTAGAACTTTAGAAATCGCATCCTGAGGCTAGTCATTGTGAGTATATGATTTAGAGTCATATAGAGAAGCTGTGGCTAGTGGAAATCAAACCTGTTAGATGTGCGACAGTTATACACCATGGACAGTCACGTAATATTATGAATTGATGAGCGCAAGAAATGCTCAATGGTCTGGGGTCTAGGTGCTAACCGCCAGACCAAAGAACCTAGGTCTATAAATGCACACTGATTATGAGTTCAGTACTATTCAGGAAAAGCCATCCAGTGATTTCCTGTATTCAAAGGATGTGAAGATCATCTACAAAGCAAAAGAACTGTCTCAAAAAGAACTCAATCTAGAGAATTGCTTATGTTAGAAGGTTTATTCAGCTCACCACTTCAAGTTTGTTTTGTGTGTTCCAGTAATGCAAGGTCAACTCCTTATTTTATAATCGTCTTAGGACGCTTTTCTATTTTTCAGGTTATTTTCATTAGTTATTTGGTTATTCCCCATTTTGTGCGTATTCATCGAATAGGCGGCTTTCTTCTACATTTCTATCAGTCACTATTTATTTGTTTTCTTAGCGACTATTACGCAACTCATATTCGATAATTGAATATATTGTTAACTGAATGGTGGCAGTCAGTAAGAAACTATCTGATTTAGACTTCATCTTAATTATTACTCATTACTATGGCATGCCTACAATCATCAGGGCACTGTTGCTCTCTGATAATTATATTTGGTAACATTGTTGAATGATTCAAAATCTTTCAACGTTATCATAGATTTCTATGTGAAAAAATTGACTATAAATACGGTTGTACAGATTACATAAACGACATCATGGAAAAAGAAATTTCGTTAGCTGAAACCTGTTCATTTTAGTTATCAAAAAACGATTGTGTTAGTGTATTTATGTGTTAAATTAATATGTGTTAAATTAACCTGTTACGTACATTTTTAAGCCTGGTCTGAGCCACGTTGGTAGATGCAGACTACTTGGTTGGGGTCCACGTGACTATCGTAATCAATGGTTGGAGACTATATGTGACATGGTTCAAAATCGATCACAATTGCTTCGGTGTATACACTCTCTGTCTTCCCTTAAACCGTGAGATTAAATTTGCTTTATATCTTTCTTCCTATCAACTAACTCTCTATTCCTGTATTATATCCTTATGCACAATCTTGCCTTTATATATTACTACCATTGAATTAACTACTTCTATGAATCCGGTGTTCATCTTGTTGCGATAATAAAGTGTGTGGTAACTTGGACTGATACATATATGTATCTGGTTCTACCTTGTATCTGACTGACTGACTCACATCTAAAAAACAATTCAAATTGCTTACACAAAACAAAAGTTGGGTTTATAGTATTTGATTTCATTTTTGTGTCAAAATGTAATCATGTCTTATGAAGACGAAGTAAAAAAAGACAACTTAATACCAATGATTGGTTGAAGTTAGACATTAACAGAGTTGGATACCAGTCGGCTCAATGATCTAAAGGTTAAGCGTTCGCATGAGAAACCGGTAGGTCCTGGGTTCGAATCTCCTGAGGCGAGATCATGGACGCGCATTGCTGAAGAGTCCCGTACAAGGATGAAACGGCCGTCCAGTACTTTCAGGTTTTCCATGATGGTCTAGCTTCAACTGGCTTGTGAATTCAATCATTAAAATTCACTGATTTATTCATGTTTATTATGTGGCCATTTTTGAAAAAAATCTGGTCATTTTTGTAATGCTACGAATATTTTGATACAGATTTGTACATTATTTATACAAAGTAGGAAAATATCATTTAATCGCCACAGGTAACGAAAGACGACAGAAATTTAGAGTGACCCTTTTATCTGACTCCAATTAAATTCTTTTATGATTGTCATCGACAGGCTTACCATATTAGTAGCCCTCGAGTATCCGACTCCAGTTTGATCGTGTAATGATCGTATGAATGATTGTTAATGAAATATAAATAACGCCAACACTCGTATATAATTACTGACTTAAATCGCGTTGGTGAATAACGGTATTAAATCACTTAAATACGAGAATAATATCTGAATACGTATATTTATTGACCTGAACAGACAATCAGGGGAACGAAGCGAAGGAAGCAAAGAGGAGAGAGTGGAACGAAATGAAATGACGCGCAATGAGAAAATTCAATTTAGACAAGAGTTACTCAATATTTATATTTGGACAAAAAGAAGTTACAGACACATGATGAATAGGATAAGTAATTAACACACATACACTCACATATAAAAACAGACAGGGTTAATAAGTAACAATGTCAAAAACTGGATTGAGGAGACTGAATAAATCGGTCTGTCTAGAATAGAATATGTGGGCTTGACTTAGTATTAGCCCGTAGATCGAGCAAAGTTAGAAATTCTCGATCTTGGATACCAGCTTATTGATCTAAAATTTGGAAATTCACGTGCGAGACAGAAGGTCTCGAATTTGTTTCCTTCTGGCGTGATCATGGATACACACTACTAAATATTCCCCCTCTAGGATAGAACAGTTGTCTCCAGTACTCCCAGATTCTCAATGGTGGTCTATATAGAATCAGTTAGTGATTTAACACATGAAAATAATTGAAAATCAATCACTGTGAAAGCAATTTTGTTATCAATACTATCAGCTTTCTTTCCTATCACAACGGTTATATGATCCTAAGAAAATGATAAAGCAACTTCTTCCTATCTACAAATGATTAGTTTATTCAATATGAGAATTTTTACCACCTATTCTCATTATGATGCATAACAATACAATGCTTACTACATTAAAAGTCCGACAAAAGTGTAGTGACACGATAAACAGTAACAGCTGTTGATATATTGATTAGTCAGGCAGTATAAACCGAATAATGCATTAACTAATGTAATTATATATTTGCATTATAACATAATAAGAATATTGCGTCAATCTAGACAGAACAACCAATAGAGAAATTATTCTAGTATAGTATAGTGATACATAGTTGTATCATATTTCCTTCTCTTACAGCATTTTCCTCTATCACTACTAGATCTACTACATATT